TTTCTGCAGAAATCGTGAAAAAAATTTGACATGGGTTACATACAAGTACATATTAGGTTTATTTGGCGAAAAAACGCAAAACTTTTACTAATTTTGGGCTAATACAAAATTTTGTAAATATTTGGTCGAATAATTTTGCAAAATTTTGTTTCTTGCAAAAAATTCGCAATAAATTTGTCATATTTTTTGCAAAAACAAAATTTTGCGAAAAGTAACAAAAAAATTCTCGACAAAATTCTGCGTTAGTTGACCTTTTTGCAAAATTTTGTATGCAAGTCGCTCTTTTCTGCGTTATTTTAAAGTTTAACGCAGAAATTAACTGAAAAATTTCTACATGGGTGCAATGTCCACCTGCCCAGCCAAAATTGCCCACTCTGCGCGTTCTCTTTTTTGAACATGACGTATAGAAACAGCTCTTTATAAACACATACGATTTCATCTTTTCTTAACAGAGTGCGAAACTATTTTTCATCCTTTTTCTTTGCAGATTATGTGTCTTTGCTTTTTTTTCAAAGGAATTATTCCAAAAAAATTTTACAAAGTAAGCACACAGCATTTCTGAGAGAGAGAGCGAATTAAGATAAATATAATCTTCCAGCTTTTCCTTAGTGACAGCGTTGAACTGTATCCTTCTTGGGTCATATTACGGCACCTTTTTATCTTTCTCAGATAATGCATAAAATCTAAGATATCCCCTTTTGTATAGATTTAGTTAAACACAGTGATTGTACGAAATCTCAAAATAAAAATGCACACAAGTGAGAAAATGCCTCAAAGGCTGATGTCTCCCCTACAAAAAAATATTTTATCGGCACCGGTTGTGCACGGGTGTGCACCGGTGCCGAATAATTTTTTTTCTGGGCGCCGATGCTCATCGGTGCCAGAAAGAATGTAAAAATTTCGCACCGGTTCGCTTTCGAGTGTGCGCTTGAGCAAAAAACATCATTAGATCGCAGTTTGAAGCAGTTTGTCTCTTTAAAAACAGTCCAAAAACGGTGTGAAAACGGTACATTTACGGCCCGTTAACGTAGACTTAACGGGACGTTAACACGCCGTTAACTTGGCCGTTTTGAACGATCTGGGTGGATGGATTTCAAGTGAATTATAAATTTTTTAATTTACGGTGAAAATAGTGAAAAATTCATTATTTAACATAGTATAGGTTTCCACTAGGTGTTTTTGAGGTTTTTCCTAAAAACAAACATTGTCCCGATATTTAGAATAGTGGAAAGCCTATGCTCAATTCACTTCCGAGATTACCGGACATCAGGGTCGCCTCATAGCGGTGCCTTCGAAGAAATTCTACCACGGGGTGGTAGATGGAGGTTTCGGACTTGCGTGGATATGGAGCACAGATGTTAGTGTATGTTCTGCATATTTTGAAACTATAAGTTGTTATGGAAACCCAGGAAACGCCCCCGTTGCCTACGGAAGGTACATCATCTGCAGACAGGATTTGAACCTATTATTTTTACCCCTGTGTCTTCTACAAACTGGCGACAACCGCATCTCTTTATCGTTTGTATATCAAACATTATTCTGAAAAGAGTTTTCTGCATTATATTTTGAAATTGATAATAGCTTCTTTACCTTCATAGCATCACATTAGTTTATTTCTGAACAAACATCGAACAGAAATAGAGAGAAAAGATATTTACAGAGAACAAGGATATTTTTCAAATCCTCAGAAAGGTCCTAAAGTACATGAGGCATTCAAAAACGTTTTCTCCAACGTCTTAGAATACCTTCGATAACATTCTGAAAGCAGGAAAACGTCACAGCTACACACGAATCGTTGTTTTTGATCAAATTAAAAAAATAAGTCTCCTGTATCTTTTTCGTTTTTGTTCTTGGTTTTTTGGGCTTATTTAATATCGGTAGAAATGGTGCATCTAATTCTTGGATTAACATATGCTTTTGTTCAAAACGACTCTCTTTTGTTGGCAGGCAACGATCATCCACAATTAAAGAGTAATTTCATGCTAAAACATATACTTTCTCAAATATCTTTCTCGTTGTATTCTACGTTTCTTCAGAAGTTGCTTGCAATGTTAACAGAGAGGCATTTTTAGTCACATCTTGTTTTGGCTGGTAATTCTGTTGCAGAAGATAACGTGTTGATAATAAGTTATCTTGTTCATGACCACTGTTACGTCTCAATTGTGCAAGACGTTGTTTCACTTCGGTTTTGTTATAAATTCTTTTAGGTTCATCTGGATTGGTTTCAGCCGTATGAATCATTGTCGGCGATTCCCAATGTAAAACATGATCTTTTGATGTATTTAACCAATCTAAAATTTTATTTTCTAATTTATGTTTTTCAATGAAATAATCAGCATCAGGCACACCCTTTCGTCTGGAAAATACACGCTGTAGTACTGATGGTTTGTTTGATTTTGATTTTGGTTGTGGGGATGGTAGTAGAGGTGGTCGTTGTGACTGAGCGTGAACTTGACTTTTAGTTTTCATACGTGGTTGTTTTCGTTGTTTGTCATTATCTAATTGATGAAGAGTGGGCTGACGCGATGTTTCCAGAACACGTCTGGCAATACGTGATCTATTTTGTAATTGGTGATGATTATTGACTATTATTGACTTTTTACCCGTACAACATTGTAATTCAGAAAAGTGTAGCCGTCTAAAAGAACTGCCCATAAAAAGACATCACAATTTTGATAATACAATAATTTATTTAATACAATGACATTTAATTTTTATTCAAACTACTACAAATTATATCTTTCAAAATAAAATAAAATAAAACTAATATGAAAAAGATAGAAATTTGTGTAAAATAAAGAAAAGTTTTGACTAACAAAATATATGATTAGGAATCAATTTTGTATCTACGTTTGAATAAAGAGAAAAAGTTTAAATTATTATTTGTATCGAATATCTATTGGCGCACTAACTTCTGCAATTGTATTTTATACTAAAATGAAGAGAGATTGCTCATTTTAAAGTCGATATATTTTAATTTCATTATCAACATCATCGTTATTGATGTTCAATAATGATAATGTTTTGTTTCTTTCAAGTGATTCTGAATCTTTTCTGTTTTTACAACATGTTTTAAATTGTGCACATTGACATTCATTATTATCAGAGACTGTTGTAAACATCTTCTGATCATTATTAGACAAAACTGTTATAATATCATCCAAATTTTTTTGTCTTTGTAATAGAATTCGATTGTCAATACTGTTATTAACAGCATCGTTAAATTTATTTTCAATTGATTCTTTATCATTTAAATCTTGATGTTCGTGAATGATTGTATCAGATTGATTTTGTTGTCGGAGTTCAAATAATATTTGTAAAAAGTTTTTCTCTAACATATCAAATAAATCTGTCATATTTTCATTTGTGTTGTGTAAATCATTCTCATTAAATTCAGATCCATTATAAAAGTTAGAATCAGTCGAAAATTGACTAGATGAACACGATTTTGACGTTGTAGAATAGACAGACGCTGTTAATATACCAGAATCAGTCGATTTAAATTGTCGAATTGACGATGTATTATCAGATATTCCATTAAGTATACGAAAACGATTTCGAACTTTTCGAAATATGCGAAATAAATTATGGTCAATGTCATTCATGAATGTTGTACTATTTACACTATTTTCTTTAAAAGATAAATGTTGACGATCATCGATATTTCGATTTTCCAAATGATTATTAACTCCAATATTCAAAGGAACATCTTGATTATTCCTAAATAAAAATAGTGGATTTTCTAAATGATTTGAGTCTTTCATTCTAACAAACTTACCAATTTCTATTAATGTCTGCTTGAGTATTTGCATTAAGCCAAGCATTAATTGGATAAATTTCTTCTTTGTCTTCGTTTAAATTTCGATGTTTTTGTCCATCTAGTTTTTCCTTTTTCAATTGATCAGTGACTATTTCTTTTTTAACTTTTGAATCTGTTATCATTGTCATTTTATTAGAAAACACATTTTTAATTTGATCAAAATTATACATAAATCGAGTCGTTTTTTTTCTCAATTTTTCTGCTTTTGTTCGGGTTTGTTTTGATTGATTATTGTGCGTAATTTTCAATAAATCTATTTCTTTCTCTTGAACATCCGACATCATTGGTAGCGTTGGTTCACAAACAATTTTTGTTTCTTTTAATTTTTTAATTTTCTTTTTTTGTACTAGCGTTGAACAAACTTGACTTGTTTCCAATCTATTCTCATGTGATATATTTTCTATAATATTGTCATCTTCTTCAGTGGCTGAAATAGTCAGTGTCTCTTTACATGTTTCCCTATTCACTTTCACACTAGTAGCATTTGGTATTGTCTTCGTTTGAAATGAGCCTTGTTGTAAATGCCATTGTATAAATTCTTCTTTTGTTAATAGTCCATCATTATCTGTGTCCATAGTACGAAATGCTAGTATTACCGCTTTTTCATTTGATTCTAAATGTAGAAAATCACTGGCTAATTTTTTCTTTTTTTCAAATTCATTTCTTGTTATAAAACCATTTTTATCCGTATCAAAAAATTCAAATAATGTTTCAACTAATCTTAGTCGATTTGCACATGTTGCTGCCGATAAAGCATAAAGATATTCTTTAAAATCAATTTCACCATCTTTATTTATATCATAAATGGAAAACATCATATTAAAAAATTTTTTTGTTCTTCGATCTATATGCTTTGTTTGAGATTTTCGGAAAAAATATTCAAATTGTGATCGTGAACAACGACCGGTTGGACAATCTCGCATAAACGTTGCATACGCATAAACAATCTCTTGTTCTGTGAACCCTGTTTCAGTACAATAATTTGAAATAATTTGTTCACTTAATGAAAATTGAGGCATGTTGTTAATTTGTATCGATTGATGTTTGTAATATCTATACCATTTATCTGATCAAGGATTATTTCTTGGATTTAACATAATATTCAGATATTCTTCGCAGAAAATAAAAAAAGTAATCAAATTTTGTAATGTGTTAATCATACTGACTGTACAATCAATCATAGCCGATACATTTCTTTTTTCTTCGTTTTGTCACAATTTTTTAGAATAACTCAAGCGAAACATCTTATTCATTATATACAACTATATTTAAAATGTATGAAATTGTGTAATAACACTCAAATAAATATCATATTTATACTTAAAGGATACTGTAGACGTTTTTATGTTCAGCTTTGCTTACTGGAATAGTGATCATTTAGTTAGTTTGCTCATGCTGAACAGTCAACTTATTTAATTACTATCAAAAATACTATTGATCCTTACCAGGCAAGATGACTTCAGTGGTTAGGTTGTTCGTCACGTACTTCAAATGTACTGTGTTCGAACCTCGATGCTAGCAAAGTCTTGTAAAAACCTTGGACAAGTCGCTTATATTTTAGTTCATGGGTCAGTGCGTCTGACAGCATACTTACTGCGTTGTGACGTACAATACAGCTTCTCCGGCCAGTTCTCGTGGCTTTCCGGAAAGCTAGTACGTGATTAGTGAAGTGTGTATGGGGAGCTCAGGTAATTGGGCGCAAGAACTCTGCATCAGGCTAGCCTTCTGGCCAGAGCGTTTCTGATGACTAAGATTGAAGAACCAGAGCGAAAGAAAAATATCAAGACAGTGTAACAGGTTTCCATAAACGCTAATGTATACAACCGGTATAGGATTTCATTCCACTTGAGATATTTATTCACTTATTCTCCCAACCTTATTTTGGATCCAGCCATCGAGGTCTACTTAGTGCTATGCCTCAGTACTCGACTAGCTAATTCATATAGGAAAAGAAAAGTATATCTATATCTATATCTATATCTATATACTTGTCAAATGTCAAGGTTGAAACATCCACTGGCACGTGGAGTACAAAATATTGATGTACACATATTCTGAGATTTTTGCAAATGTATGTCATTTTTAGCCTAGTTTTGATATTTTCACCGAAGAATCGAATGACTCTGCATGAAAGTGCATGCCGAGTTTTAGCGACGTATGTAATATGTGAAGTCTGTAATGGATCCTCTGTCACCCTTGAGTGGTTCCAACATAGTACAGAAGCAAAAAAACAAAAGTTTTTTGTCGCCAAACGTTGTTTTTATCGCATTCGAAGGCGTTAGTACTATAAATTTCTTCTAAACATGTCACAGTGAGGTCAAAATACCTCAAATATTGTTGACACGTTTAAATCAAATTGCGTTTTTTAGACGAATTAAAAGGTGTCCAAAAAGAATTTTTTTAGATACGTCGAGCTCTAATACGTCAATTTTTAGCCTTTTTCATAAGCACGTTAGTACAAGTAGCAAATTTGTTTCCACAGCGTTAGAATCCGCTGTAGATTTCCTTTTGAACGTGATGAAACTTTCTTTTGAATGATAAAATAATCTCATTTTATGTTATATCCAAATTCTTTTTGGGCAAAAACCGGAATTTTAAAACAAAATCTTGTAAAACTTGTGTAATACGCTAATAGAAAACCAGTTCCACCTTTTAAGACTGTCTGTTATTGTTTTTTCTGTTGAAATAGAACGTCTCTCTCACATAAATAATTCGTAGACATATAAAAACAAAAGTGTATATCTTCAATTAAAAGGTCAAGCAAATAACGTTGCGTCGATGACTGTTCTATATGAGATTAAGGATTAGTATGGAAATAGATACAAGTATAACACTAGGCAAACTAGGCACAAGTATAATTATATGTTCAACGAACAACTTTAGTTTAAGATACTAAATAGTTGTATGATCAGTAAAATAATTATTGAATAGAGTACATATTGAAAAAATGATGACAGTAAATTAGGTCACTTATTAGGTTTCAAAATATATTCCGGTCAGTCGTTATTCTTCTATTCCATTCGTTCTGTACTAGCTATGATATAACATAATTTTTAAAATATATCAGCATTTTCAATCAAATTTTATCTTTCTAGCCCTTTTCAGAATCTAAACTATTTCATAAGTGTAACATATTTGCATGACAAATATTATTTAGTATCGATCTGTCTCCAAAAATGTTTGTGTAGTAAAAAGTCATTATCATTGAAAATGCGAGATTACAACCAATTCCGATTTGACCGTTACAAACACCTTCAAAAATTGTAACCGAATGCCTTTTCTCGGAAGTCAGATCTGCATGAAACATTTTCCAAAAGAAATTTACTCTTCATCTAAAACATTCTCATACATCATGAAAGGGAAATACTATTGATATTTTCTATCTATCGTTTTATGATTTGTAAAGGAAAAAATGGCTTTACACTTTCTTTATGCAGTTACAAAACAAGACAGTTATATATAAAACAGTTTTAAATTATATTCTATCATAGCTAGTACAGAACGAACGGAATAGAGGAATAACGACCGATCGGAATAGTACCGGAATAGAGGAAGAACGGAATACCGATCATGGTAATATATTTTGAAACGCTCCCTTAAATAAATCAATAATCTTCATTTGTTAACTAGAAACTTATGTTTAATAAATAAAGATGTATGTCGTTTGTTTTATTTTCTTTTAAAGAAAAGAGCTTTTACATAATAATAAATCTGTTCAGTATATCGACACCTGAAACAAACACTTGTCGATCATTTTCAAGAGCAAGAAAAAGTAAAATTTTTTTCAGTCCACATTCATGTCTGTATATTATTATGCAAGGCGAAAAAAAGATCGTGTTCAATAAAAGCCCTAATTAAATCCTTTTAAAGGTCATTGTTGTTCAAACAAAAAAGATTATATGATACATTTGATTTTCTTTTTACATAATGGTAACTACCACTCTGTACTAATGAACTCTATACGTGAGTTGAATTGAATATTAAAAAAAAATGTCATGTTCGCATGATTATTAACTAAACTATATCCTTCAATAGTGAGAGAAAGAGGGAACATGTAGTATTATTACCTAATCATTATCTTTTCTTACAAGCAATATTTACATTTTGGTGGTATACACATCGATAAGTCTAAGACGTTTTTAAACAAAATATAACTATACTATTCGTTAAACACATTAAACTAACTGCAATGAAATTAATGAATTTTGTCGAATTGTTGTAGTCTACCCTTGGGTACCATTTTTTTGAAATTGAAACAGGTTTGTTTGATGAACTTTGTTGAATTTGTACTTATTTCACCTTCTTAAAATACTAGATCTCATATATAGAATCTACCGAGAAAAACAAGTTGTCTTGACCTCTAATTACTTTTTAGTGTCAATTTTGTCCTGAAATGAAACAAGTTGACATACATATTCAACTAGAAGACGTATCACCTCTTCATATTGGATCCCATAGAATAAACTCATATGGTTCATTGTGTTAATTATACATTTTTCTTTCTTTTTGTTATTTGACTTGTCAGTAGATAAGTGTTTGTGTACATATAAGATACATGTTTGAGTATCATTCAAAATCATGGTAAACAGTGTGTCGTATATGTATTAATCTAATTGTTCAGTTTATATATAATAACTAGGTGTTTCAACTTCCGAATGAGTACGTGCGTGAGATGAGCGCCCTTCTTTTTCAAAATGAAAAATATACACGCGATAATATATATATATATATATATATCTTTAACGTGTGTGTTGTTATTGTTCAGTCAAGTATTTAGGAAAGATTATATGATGCGAAATATTTTTTAAAAAAAATGCGTCGTTACTATATAATAAAACCGAATTCTAATTTACATATTTTTGTTAAATTCAAGTCTTTTTGCATATATATATATATAATATATATATAGGTTAGATGTACCCTTGAGTACAGGTCTCGACTGAAATAAGCTACTCTAAAACATCGTATTATTCAGTCAAATAGAAGATGTTTTTTTCTTCTTCTTCTCTTTTCATTCAAACACCTATATATAGCTGAACAGTTGAACCGAGAATATAGATGAAGGTAATGGGATGAGAAGTTTTGAATAATGAAGGATAAAAAGAAACGTTATTTTTTTCTCTTCTTTTTTAACTTGCACTCTATTGGTACGTATGACGGAAATAAATCAGTTTTTTTGAAATAGAAGAACCTACAATGCAATTCTTATACTTAAATACAAAATAAAGCGTGACACGAAACAGGATATAAAAAAGTAGTTTAAACAACGACACATCGATGGTAGTATAATAAAAAAAGACAATAAATTAGTGACGTAGCCGCAGAATTATATTTACCAAAAAAGTCTCAATGAATCATATGAATTCGATGTTCGTCTGTACGATCCCGATACATTGATAATTATTCTTTAGATAACTAATTCTCTAATGGATGAACACCTATTAACGAACGATGCTTATCTCATATATGTCGTTATTGGATTTATCGTGATCATTTCTATATTTGGTCTAATTGTTATATTAATTACTACATTTTGCTGTTGTTGCTGTCACTCGTGTTGTTGTGGTGAGGAAAGACGTTCATCGTATAAACTTAGTCAACAAAAAATGAATAAAACTGATAATAAACGATCGAAAACAACATTTGTTCGAGTTCATCGACATTCGAGTGATGTTGACTTTTCACAATTGTACGATTCATGTCCACATCTAATCAATGCAAAAGCATCCCATATGAATACGAGTTGTACGACAATCGATACTGTTGTTTATCCTACATCCCCATGTAGCTCATTTCGATCATTTGCCAATTCAAATGTAAACTTGAACACTAATTGTACAACAGAAAAAATTCATAAAACAATCAAATCATCAACAACTTCTACAGTTACATTAGGTACAGTCAACGTTTTCTCTTACGATCTAATGAACGTACTTATGATTTGTTTTTTTCTTGCTTAAAGATATGACTCAATCCGAAAATAAAATCACAAATACTTTGAGTGAGCCAGCAGACGAGCCAACATCTTCATGTCCCGATACGTGTACAGCAAGTTCAAGTGTTACACTGGAAACAAACTCTAATCAAACTCAACTAGTCCCTTCTCCCTTAGGAACCACTGAAGGTATGTATAAGTCAAGATATGATATGTAACTGATTTCATTGACAAATATTTATTTTTAATATTAGATTGTACCGCAACCGATGAAATAACAACGCCAATTTCAGAAACGACGAACAACACTTTACCGACATGTTCTGAAAATAATCAAGCCGTTGATTTTACTCAACATCGACAGCTGAATCGACCATTTTCCTATATAAAAAACACCGATCAATCTTCCATTTTCTATCATTTTGCTCAGCCACAACCTAAACACCAACAAATATATTTTACATCTGATAAGCTCAAATCTAGTCATAATGATCAACAATGTAATCAAGTAAAATTAAAGACCAAAAATTTCGAAGAAACGACGAACAATATTTATGAAACTGTCGGTGAGAGTACAATATTAAAAAGACACCATCATCCGCTATGTCTTAGTGGGCAGCAACAACCACAACCAATCTACGAAACAGATTGGACACAAAATTTACGTCAATTAATGCGTACAATGAAACATCCTCAACAGCATCGAACAAATGTATCGATTATTGAATTGCCTTATGAACATTATACACATATGATGAATCAGTCAAATCTCTATGATATGAGACCATCATCTTCACATTATTCCGTTCATAAACCATATAACTTTCTCGCCAATCATACATCATCGGAGTCCTTGAGACGCACAAACATATTGAAACGTTTACGAGATGACTCGGCTTTTTTATACTAAAAATTTCATATAATCATCTACCGGATTCTTCATGAAGTCCAATATTCCTATCCAAAAAGAACTTGCTAGTTTCACTCATTCACATGAATTATGTGCGTTTAATCATTCTAAAAGACACTAGTAAAAGTCCACATTTAGTTAGCAGTTGATTTAAAGTGCAAAGCAGATCATTTTATTCAAGAACAATATTCGACTTTTGTATTACTTTTACACTATGTATTTTGGTGGAACTTCAGTTTTTCTTGTACACTACACTGTGCTGAATATTCTTTTCTTGAACATTTGTAAAATACTACTAGCAAGAGTATCTGTCTTCTGTTAATTAGTCACAGTTTTGTGCACAAAAATCATGAAATTCTACTGTATGTATTTATATAGACATGTTATAAAACAAATTTGTTTAGTTAATCAACATTCAACTATTGAATGATATATCAAAATTATATTTTTTATAAGTTTTAATCTCATTATACAAATATCTTAATAAGTAAGTGAGTACTGTTCACAGTTTTTCTATAAGAAACAGCAATGAAAACGATCGCAATGGCACAACGCAACATTTTATATAGCTTCTCCTTAGTTCTAGTTAAAGACAAAGTCAATTTATACTATTATCAATATAAATGACATGTCTCGTATGATCTAACCTGGTAGACTCCGGCTGCAAAATAGCCAAACAGTTAAAAAACAGCCGTTTTTATTTTTAATCTACTACCATCAAAACGTGTTGAAATATATATTATTTTTATGGCAAATCAAGGCTGATCGAATACTTGTTTGAATGATGTAAAAATGAACTCGATAGCGTGCGTCGTTCAAGGACGCTTGTATCACGATACAAAGTGTTTAATTAGTTAACTTTAACTATTCTCACCGAATACGAATTTATTGAAAAATGACAGAAGCAGAAAAACTTAGAGGAGTGTTTGAAACAGATTTCGGAAAAAGATTTATTCTTCGAGTTCTATTGGTCGAAAACTTCGGACAGTATGGATAAGTAATTCAAGTGAGAATTTGTCATAAAATGTCACGATTGTAACCTTATTTAGTATACGTGTGCTTTTTCTACTTCAAGCCAGGGCTGGATAAGTCAGAGGTTTTGCAAAGCATAAGTCAAGTCACTAAAAAAATTGTCGAGTCAAGTCGAGGTGAGAAAATTTTTTCTCTTAAGTGGATGCAAGTCAAATCATCCCTCGAAATTATTTCCTCCAAGTCAAATCGAATCTGGTTAAAAAACAGGCACAACATAAAATTTGACAGCGTCTTTTGGGTGAGAGATATTTTTTATACTTCAGAAACTCTGTTTCATGGTAAAAAATGTTTTGACTTGACTTGCCTAGCTCTACTTCAGGCAGGTTGAGTGAACAAATGTATAGCAATTTTATCGTCGTCATAATTGTTTCGTTCAATACAAATAAAAAAGACATATGCAAAGTTATATTAGTCTTTGTAGACCTCAGTGTGTACTACTATTTTAAAGAAAACGAAAAGAAGCTCCCTTGCAGTTTATATTTTAGCTTACTACAAATTAGACATTTTGAAAAAGATGACCTTATCGTTACGGGAACCGCCCTCGAACGACGCATTCTATCGAGTTCATTTTTACATCATTCAAACAACTATTCGATCAGCCTTGATTTGACATAAAAATAATATATATTTCAACACGTTTTGATGGCAGTAGACCGAAAATAAAAACGGCTGTTTTTTAACTTTTTGGCTATTTTGCAGCCGGAGTGTACCAGGTTAGATCATACGAGACATGTCATTTATATTCATAATAATACAAATCGACTTTGTCTTTAACTAGAACTAAGGAGAAGTGTTTGGTTACAAATGGTTGATCTGGAAAGTTGATTGGTAAGGGGTCACTTCTAAACTGGGGTATTCACTACTACTACAGAGTCCACAGGGTCCCATCTTCGTGGCTCTCTGCTCATGTATATCTGAACGAAACTGTGGAAGTACCCTGGAGATAGAAGTGAATTCTGGTTTTTGAACAGTGACTTCATTACTTCTTAACTTTTCAAAAACCTATTGTTTTCCTCAGATTTTTTGAGTTTCATCAAAGCTTGCTTCATCAATGCTTAGGATATTTTTCTTGAACGAAAATCATTGTACACAAGCGTCATCTTTCGAAGAGTTTTGTGTTATTGCTTTCACATTCTGTATTCTATTCTGTTTAAGTACACAAATATATACATTACAGCTAATTCGGAAGTTTTGTGGTGTTTCTTTTATGATTTTTTCAGCTTTTCACATAACCGGTTTTGAACGGAGTTTTTCGTATCGCTGTAATGGAACTGTATTTTGTCCGATTTGTATGAAAGAAGTAGGAAAGAAGAGGAAACTGATCTCATGAGCTGTTTATTTATATACTTATTCTTTCCCTGTTGTTATTTGTAGCATTGTTTATATTGCTGAGCACTATGACTAAGTCGGGCCCCTTTATCTAGCGTTGTTTGACTACAGGCCCTCACAAGATCTACAGGTATCTTACAAGAATTGCGAAACTGGGTGAATTTTTTAGAGAACTCTTGCGAGAGACTTATTTAGTTTAAACTGCTAATAACACAAACCTTTGAACTTAGAGGTTGAACAAATCGGCTATATTTAAAAGTTGTGAGTATTGAGAAAGAATGGCTAATTGAGAGACATCGTTTAACCACTAATTTATTTATTAAATAAAAATTTTAAATCTCAGTACGAATTATAATGCATTGGCCACGACGAAGTAGCAAACTGTAAGATGGCAGTTTGGCCATACGTCGTGGGAATCAATACACTAAAATTTGTACTGAAACCATTTAACCAAATTCGATAATCTATTTTTTAAGGAAAACTGAAACTTAATCAGAAATTACTTTTATTTCTAGATAGATCACGTTGGTTTGTCATCACAAAAAATAAAAATGTATTCGTACAATAATTATGGCGGTAATGGTGAAACTATGCTCACCAGTTTGGAACATCAATATTATTCAATACTCATTGATTACGGATGATCATCAACTACACTCGTTTGCAGCAAATGGTAAATGTTTGTTTAATGGTTGTTGTTAGAGTCTATTTATAACCAACTTTTCTTTCTGAGATCCTGACATTAACTGGTCTTTTGTTCTGTATATGAGTTCTGGATTTAACCTCCTTCTTAGCTCGCAAAGAATAGTACGTTTTGCTATCATATGAATCGATTCCCAAACACTTACATCAGATAGATGTGACCATATTTGACTTCAAACATGCTTTAATTTCATCCTTGATCAAAATTTTTTCCCTTCAAGTATAATAATATTTTCTGAATGAACTATCAGTTAAAATTATCTTGTTCTTTATTTAGTCTACTTAGTGGTTTTTCTGATGTCATCTAATGGTCACTCTTTTTTTTGTATCTTTTCAGCTTAAATTTGCCAAATTGAATAGCATTGGAATAGAAGAAGATATTGTGGATTGTGTAAACAAAATTTAAATGCCGTCAAAAGAAACGAATGGTAAGACAAAATTTACTTTCTTCCCCAGGGAATGGTAGATTACGGATTCACATTATAACATAATTACTTTATTACAATAAGAGTGTTCTAAAGAAAGAGAATTTGCTTGTTTTGTTATTCATCTCTTTTTCAATAAGTAGTTCTTTGAGTAGGGTTGCGCGGAATTTGCGTCTTTTTAATAAAACTGGAAAAATTTCCTAGTCTTGACTAAACAGATTTTCTTGAAATTATTTCTACGAAAAGAATTACAAATATATTTCCATACATTTCTAAAACGATTATGAATAAATTGAGTCATAAGCTTCTTGATATTTCATTTAGTTAGTCTCATTGACTGATTAACTTAACGCTATAGTAAACTACGTGGAATAGAGTAGCAGCAGTAAAAAATTCAAAATTGATTTAGTCTCTGTTTTTCTTTATGTCATTCCCTTTTCGCCACACTGATGTTCATATGAGTACTGATGTGAGTATTTAGAAGCGTAGTTCGCAAAAACAGTCTTCCGTTCTATAAATTTCTATCTCTTTCATTGATAAAAGAAACATGTATTTAGTATCTTAACTGGATGGGGCAATGTTATATTTTTCTACCAAAACATCAGTAAATGGATAACACAATATAAAGTGGAATCTGCTGCGCTTATTCTACCAGCTATTAATTACTACCTAAATGCACACTAAAAATTTCTTTCAATCTTTACTAGTTCTTTCTCTCACTTAAACACATTAATGAACAGGTTTGTATTCTAATTTAAAGCATTTTTTTTTGCCTGAAAGTGAAATTGACGTAGATTTGTTCCCAGTAAAGTTAGCCAGAAGGAATGATTTCTGATTACCTTGTAGTCGACATCATTACAGATAATTTCCTCTGTGTACTGAAGAGTATATCTGCAAGATAGTATTGCTTCTCTAATTTTCGAAATTTATAATTTAAAATAATGCGAATTGCTAGTTAATTAAATGATTTACATCTAAGAAAAAGTCATAAGTACGATAACTAAAATACCAGATCAATAGCAAAAACAACTTGACCTTCATTTAGACGACAAATAAACATCACACAATATTTGTGAAATCGGTGAAAACAAACAAGGACGTCGATTACGTTATTCAATCAAATTGATTAAGTAAACAGGAATAACGCTTTCAGAGGAAGTATTTTCTCTGATAGTTGTATCCACATCAACATCATCGTAATTATGATTATTAGCAACAATTTAATCATTTGGGATATATGGTCGTATTTTTTATTTTGGAACTGCATGTAGTGACACAAGTTTTTTTTTGATAGTTTTTTATTTGTATATGACTTGTAGAGGAACCATCTTCATTATGATACTTCATGCTATAAGATGAGAATTTTTTTTTCTTAAGAAGAACAAGAATTCACATGTATATAGTTAAAAACCATGTATTTTTCTTTTGCTACAAACACGCATTTTTGGATTGTTTGTGTTGTACTTTTTTCTTCATACTCTCATCGATTTTTCCCCTTTACTAGACATTTTAAGGGTTGTGAATGCTACCATCCGTCAGAAGAATTGACCTGGATAAGGTGGAACAAATTTTGCATTCAGAACGTATGCAAAATCTATTCTCAACACTTGTAGTTTTGGTTAGTAGGGCATAATGGGGTGATTTTTTTTGTAGGTCTAGTTTGAGAAAAATATAATTCGGTGATTCGCTTAGATATAGCAAAGTCTACCTGTTTCATCAGTTTATAGATGCTCTGTGGAATATTCATATTGTGTTTTAATCTTTCTTGTTTTGTTAAGAAATCTATAGGAGAACGCTACCCGTTGGGATTTATTATAGTAGAGCATTTTGAGAAGAATCTATTATCAGTACGTCTGAAGAGTAGAATAGAGCTCGAGTTGTAATCAACCTCTTTATTTTTTGAAAGTGTTCCTTCCTTGACATGTGAATGAGACCTTGTTTTGTTAACATCTGTTCGTTTTTTTTATCTTTATAGATTTTTGAAAACTATCACATAGAATACAATTAGATAAAAAACCAAATTACGATGATGTTAATGTTTCCACTTTGTTTCTGCTATTGATCTGATTTGCTATATTTATATAAATGCATTTTATTGCAAATTATAATTAAACTTCATAAATAAATCTTATTTTAAATGAGTTAAATGCTTCTTGTTAATTATTCGTAGTGTGGAAAAAAACTAACTGAGTTTGCATTATAGTTTAAATTGACAATTAAGAGACATATTGTAATCTAGTAGAATAACGGGAAGTCGACTAGTTCTTTCGACCTGCACACAAATTCTCCGACTTTGAAAACTTTACATTGATTCGTAACATCACATGAGATGGGAGCTTAGTATTGAACCGTTTGATTACCTGGTTTTGAGAACAGGAATGTTCTCAAAACCTTCTTCACTCCTTTGCCTCAGAACAAGAGTTTCATATTTGATGTTCAATCAAGTGACATCCATGACGGTGAGAGGTGCCTAAAAGTCTCTTGTGTATGCAGATAATATTAAACTTTGCTGTGACTATAAAAAGTATTTTTGACAACATCGTCATTCTCACGATGTAGCAGCCATAAGGCGAAAATACGTCGAATTTTGACGGTATTAGTCTGCCACCTTAAATCGCTCAATTGCAGTAGTTTCTAAATCGCTTGAGAGACACGTTTCCTTATCTTTTGTGTTTTTCCTAAATGTGTATTTATATTAATTAACAGTCATCATGATGTGTTTTTCTCTATTCTTTTAGATAGTTCACTTAGTTTCCAAAGGAAAATCTTTATATTGATTGTTTGTGGCCAAGAACGAAGATTTTTATATGATTTGATTAACGATCAATAGTGCACAAAAATCAAAAAGAAAATGTCTGGAAGCCAAGACGAAGTTGTTAAAGAATTCGTAAAAGAGGTATTCAATTTCTTCTCACTTTTTCTATGTCGATATTATATTTTCTATTTTTGTCTTAGTTACAAAGTATGCTCGAAACAAAACCACCGATATCAAAAGCCAAGATGATGTCAATAACAAAAGCAGCAATTAAGAGTATCAAATTTTACAAACATGTTGTGATGAATGTTGAAAAATTTATTGCAAAAGTATGTTAAATAAAACATAAAATTATTAGATCAAAGAGCATCAGCGATATTTCTTTTTGTTTAGTGTAAACCAGAATATAAGATTCCTGGATTATATGTGATTGATTCGGTTATTAGACAGTCGAGGCATCAATATGGATTAGAAAAAGATGTTTATGGTGCTCGATTTGCTAAAAATATTGTGACAACAGTACAAAATATACATAAATGTCCTTCAGAAGAAAAAGTAAGAGTTATGCATGTTAAAATAACGAATCACAGTCAATATTTAACTAGTTCTTTTTGAATGAGCACTAATATTGATATTTGTTTTCAGAACAAAATTACGCGTGTGTTAAATTTATGGCAAAAGAATAGTATATTTGTTCCTGATTTATTGAGACAATTATTTGAAATTCACAATAATGGCGTTGTCACTGATTTAAAACGTAAGAATCTTAATTTTGTTCTATTAGTATTATAAAACATTTTTTGTTTATTTTTAGCCGATTTATTAGCATTATTTGACGACAAGAAGAGTGATGTACGTATATTATTAATAATATTTATGTAAATCTTAAAACAATATAGTTTTTATTTTTTATATAGAAAGCTTCATTTGACTCATCTGGATCATCTTCAAATCATCAATTGAATCGTTTTCAAGAATTACGTGAAACGTTAATACGTGCTCAAGCTAAAGGCGACACAGATACAACGTCAATATTAACAGAAATACAACAAATAACAAATCAATTATTAGAATCGCAAAAGAAATCAGATGGTAGTATCAATAATAATAATACATCAGCAATTTCAGCAGCTAGTACAACAAAGTCAGAAACAATGCCCTCACTTGTTGGCGTACGTTTATTTTTATTTATACACTAAAACAATCACCACAATAATTTTTATTTTGACTTTAGAGTGTATTGGACGATTTTGATTATGGTTCTGATGAAGATGATGAACAATTACTAGCTGGAAAAGCAATTGCTCGACAACAAGCGTCTCAATCATTTTCTCAACCCCCAACAACATCGTATGTTAGAGATCTTAAAAAAGAATAATCTTATTAAAAAAAATCTTTCATTTCAGTCTTGGACAAGTTTCCAACATGCAGCCGCCATCAAATCAACTCCACTTTGCAACATCTAGTTCCGATCAGAGATATCTACAAGTGCGTAAAGAACAACACTGAATAATATTTAATTTCACTGATGGTCTTTTATTTTTTTAGCCGCCTGTCTTGTACAATAACAACTCATCATCATTTTCCGGCGCCAATGTAAGCTTTGCAATATCAACTCGAGACTACTTTTAGTTTCACTATGTCTAATCTAGGTTTTGTTTCCAATGTCATTTGATCCAAGTCGACCTCCTCCTGTATTTTATCAGAATGCACAACAAACTCTTCTGCCATCAACTCAACAATATCCACAACAACAAAACTTGCAACAACAACATGATTATAGTCATCACACATCACATCGAAGACCATCACATGAGGTAAGAGATACATATTGACTGTTGAGTACTGTTTGTGCGTAAAATCTCGGTTTTTTATCGTTAAATTAGCCCAATGATGTTGACCTAAGACCAGAAGATATGGATGCCGATAGTTTTGATGAATCACCGCAACCACCTCGTACAAATGATAGACATTATCCTCGCGGACATAGACGTTCGCGATCAAGATCCGGTTCAAGAGATCGTAAACGTCAACGTTCATCGTCAGGGTAAATCTTCGAACTAAATTCAGCAAAAAATTTTCTTATCAGTAGAGCTTTTTTTTAATTTCAGCTCAGCTAATAAACGTGACGCTGCGGCATCTCGTTTAAAAGAAACCGAACGGAAAGAACGTCGTCGAAAAGGTTTACCACCACTAAAAGAAGATCATCTTGTTGGTACGTATCATTTTTACAGCTATCATGACAGGATCTTCAACAAAATCTTTTTTTAGTTAGTTCCAGAACATTATGGTTAGGTCATCTTCCGAAAATGATCACGGAAATGGATTTACGTGAGACACTTGAACCACATGGTGAAATTAATGACATCAACGTACGAAAAAGATACACGATCATAATTCCGTTCTAGATACAATGTGTTTCATGTTTTTTTAGAATATACCACCGCGTGGTTGTGCGTTTGTATGTTTTAAAGAGAGACAAGATGCGGCTAGATGTCTGGAAAAAATGAAAGATTTTAAATTTCAAGGAAATCCAATTAAAGTATGAATTTGCTAAAATATCATGTCTATAAATAGCAATAATTTATGACTCTCTCTTGTTTTAGATTGCATGGGCAACGAACAAAGGTGTTAAAGATCGCTTTAAGGATTATTGGGATGTTGAACATGGTTGTACTTATATACCATATAATGAATTAAAAGATGTTATTAGTACAACGAGTTTGGAAAGTTTGGCTGAAGGTGGTGTTATTGATGACGAATCGATTCCAGCTTTTTTAAAATGTATGAAGGTTTTCAAAACTTTATATCCGATCTTACATTTTCTTATTTCTAGCACCATCCATGCCATCAGCAGCATCGACCAATAAAACTATCTTACATACACCTCAACCTGGTCTGTTACCGCCCCCACCTCCTTCGTTTCCCGATCAAGTGCTCGTTGCCCATACACCGCCAAATATTTTAATTCCAAACGCACATTTTGATACGCCAGGAGGACGTTCACAACAGCAGCAACAACAGCGAGATTTATCTGCAGAAATTCAAGCAACGCAAAACGGACAATTATCTCACCAACATCCATCTTTATTACAAGCGCCATCAACAGCAAGCATCGTTCGTACTAGTCTCCCAGGACAGTTGCAACAGCAGCAGCAAGAGATTCCTCTAATGTCACAATCTGGTTTTCAAGCTGGCGTACCTGTGCAAATGTTACCTCATCTCATTCAAGTACAATCGATGTCTGGTCATCCACAACTTCAACAAGTTCAACTTGTTCAACGAATCGCGGGTATGTTTTTTGAACTGTGGTGGTCATATTCTTCTCACATAGATGATTTTCATCAATTACAGGAACCGTATTACCAAATGGACAAATTATTCGTCAAGTTCCATTTGGTCATATGGTTTCTCAACAAGGTCTACAATTGCATCACAGTGCTGCGGATATTAAAGTGAGTTTTTACAACAGAATGAACAATCAGAATATATATAAAATGCTATTTTCTATTTTAGGAATTAAACAGTCAAGGCATCGCTGGTGGTAAGTAGCAATTTTAAGTTACGGCATTGCTAAACGGGAAATATTGTTGTACATCTTTGAGTGTATGTGTGTAAATAACAGTGTTGTTAAAACTATTTGTTGCTTCACGCACACACACATCATAAGAAAAGCTTACAAAACACTAACCGTGCTATTATATTTATTTTGTATCTCTCAGGCGCCGGTTTACAATTATTAAGTATTGGGGGTGGTAATTCTCATTCACCAGCCGGCGTGCCTTTCATTACTACTCTTACTTCTAATACTCAATCAAACACAGCCACAAATCATTATCATCATTTTCAAAACAGAGAGGAATCACTTGGTAAAAGCTTTTATTTATTACCGATCGTATTTTATTACTTTTCGATATGATCCTTTAGACCTGAATTATATGCTGAATTAGCTGCATGATATTTGTTTTTATTGCACTTTCTTCTCATAACACGGCAAATATAGATCTATAGATGACACGATATTCTTCAATATCTCATTTTTCTCTTTTAACATGCTAATTTTCGATTATCTAGTATTTTTAGTTTACTGAATTTAGCATATCATATTCTATCACGCATGCACTTATTTGTTTGGTTGATGTTTTTCTCTGATACGTCCAACTTACTATAGCTCCTTTTTGTTTTAGGTCCAACATTAATTCAGCTTCAACCTTCTGGAGCTACCGGACACCAAACATCTTTAATTCGAACTACACAACAAGATTCAAATGACTTTCTTTCAAATATGACAATGCCATCTGTAATCAATCGTCAATCTCCTCGTTCAAATCAAATACCTAGTGATGATGAACAACAGTCACAACAAAGGACAGCCTTTACTCTTACTCGTCATGATCAATCTGTAATTGAAAATCAAGGAGATAATATAGGTTTTAATAGTGAAGAGATAGCGTCTCAAATGCGAATTTCGCCAATAAATCTTGTTCAACATCAACAACGTCCTACAATGTTTCATCACCAACATCCACATCAAACACACAATGGACCACGTTTCCAATCGTCTACACAATTTATTGCTACTGTGGGTGGTCAACCATTAATTGCAAATCAAGCACGTGGTGGACCAATTTTGATACGAACACAAGATGGACAATCAATATTACCCTCATCTAATTCTCCATCAACACCACAGAAGCAACAAAATCCGTTTGCGCGTGGAGCGCTTCTACCGACTCCACCTAACGTTTCTGAATCAGAAAATTTACTTCATGATACTCCTCCATCTGGACGCTACCATACAGATCGTTTTGATCAACAACAAGATGATAATACTTCAATCGAAAAAGATGATGAAGATAATCGTTCGTCGTATCGAGGACGTGGTGGACCCAGACGACCGTTTTACAATCGAGGTGGCCCCATGACACGTGGAAACAGAGGAAATCGAGGAGGTTATGATCGACAAGATAGTGGAGGTCGAGGACAGTATCATCGGGGAGATTTTCGTACTGGTCGTGGCGGTGCACATGAAACAATGAGAGGAAGAACTGCAGGTATACTTTAATGTTATTCAAAGAAAAGAAAAATTGAACGTATAAATCTGCTGAAAAATGTATTTACAGATATTCATTTTCCAGTTTATTTATTGAATTTTCCTTTTGTTATTGCACAAAATCTTTTGTTATAATATCCATATATTTTTTGTTATAGGCGGAGGCGGCGGTCGGTATCGTGGCGGCAACATGCCATCGAGATTTAGTGAAAATACCGATAGGCGTCGACCACGTAGTCCATCATCAAGTGGACAGCATTATAATCGTGGAAATGAGCGTTTAAGAGATGATATGAGAAATGATGATTATCATCGTCGCGGCGGTCAACATCGATATACACAACAATCGCAACAGTTTAATTTCAGTGAACGTGAATCTCGTCGTTTACCGGAAGAAGCATTACGTCCAGATAAACCACAATTTGAAACAAGAAATGACTATCGTTCAAATCGCTCGATTGATGATCTAACAACAACTCATAATAATAACAAACTTGACACATCATCATCGATACCCTCAGATATTATAATAAATTCAGATGATAATAAAAAATCGAAGAATGAAGGTATTGCCGGTGAAAATTAATCGTATCTATATTGTTTTATGTTGTGTCTTATACATTAGATTTTTTTCTTTTGTTTGTTCTCTCATCATTGTTTTATTTGAGCGTGTGTATGAGAAAGCGCAGACGTATCGTTTAATACTGGTTTATAGTTTTGTTTTTGTTTACAATATTTTTTGTTTTTGACGAAATAATGTCTATGTTTAATATATTGATTATGTATATGTGTTGCGTTTCTCTTCATAACGACACATTTTTCGTTATTGCTGTTGTTTTCAGTGGAGAACAAGACTTTACATAAAATAGACGTGCTCTTTGTCGAGTTGTGGTTGTGAAATAACATTTGATTATTCAAGTACGGTTTGTTCCCAACTGCCTGCAAAATCTTTGCCGCCTAATTATAATAAATGCGTATCGTTAATGTAATGGATAGTATCTTCTTCCTCTTAGACAACTGACTACACGGATAATTCTAATGCATAGTTGAACTTGAAAAAAATGTTAGGAATTATTAGCGGTACTAGTGACTATTTTATATCGCATTCTTTCACGATGGAGCAGATTGTGTTTTTCACATTTGTCTTTTTTTTTAGTGCGTGTGTGTGTATATTCAAAAAGTAAACGCGAGTCCTATTGTTTGTTTTTTTTGTTAATGTAATTTTTTTGTCATAAACTTAAATCATATCGTTTTGTTTCGCTTCTGTTCCTTTTTTAATCTCCAGTGTATTGTGTTGTTCTATTTTCGTGAATTCACATATCTTCACCCATGTTGTGGATGATATTCATTGAAATAGAAAAATAAAGTTTCGTTTTTGTACAAATCAGTGTCAGATGTAAGAGTAAGTATAAAATGGTTTATATGCGTTTGAAACTATAGTATACTCATTTTTGTTGTCTTCTAATTAATAGTCCGCTTTTCTGGATGAACAATTACATTGACTGCCTTGTACCGTATTCTTTCCTCAAAAAAAAAGTCTGACAACATCTCGTCTTTTTGTTTGAATCTATTTCGCTCTGCCTAATTTTGTTATATAAAATTTAAAATTTAAAAAAATTTGATTCAGAATAATTCATTGGATTATTATTTTGCAAATATGTTATTTAATCAGGTGTAACTCATAAAAATTGTCATTATTAGACACTTTTCTTTTACAGTATAAGGGACAGATTTAAACAACAAATGACTCGTCCCGTTAAACTGAAAAAACAAAAATTGAGTTTAGAAAGATTTGTGGTTTGTGCTTGAAACAAAGATTAATGCTTTTTTGTAGGCGTTGATAACGTACAACTAGATTCGTACATATATATCTTGAGTTTTGGAACTCATTATTTATTGTATTTGATCATAGAAGTACATATTCAGGTTAAAAAAATGATGTTAATACTCAAGATTGATTGACATGATATTATCATCTTTCTTTTAGTGTTTTTTTGTTGTCAACTCTATATAGGGATGAAAATGGTAGTGTAGTATAATGGCAAAAAAAAAATGTCCTGGAAAAACGCCTTATTTTTCTTTATAGTATAAACGAACAGTAGCTTTGTTTTTTACAGTATATTTTCTAAGCATCATACATATAATACGATTAAATTTATTTTTATACAAAAATATATCAACAATGCACTGTAAACCTTTCATGCTTGTTTTTGTAAGTATGTTTACGGATGTATGTTTAATTAGAAAGTGAATTTATCGGTTATCATTTTTTGCAGTATATTTTGTTCACAAGACGCTATTTGCTTCATGCACAGAATATTTCAACAGACGCAGGTGAGGATGAAAATGTACAATGGGGTAAGTAGAGTATTACCTTTTCCTTTAGATTCTAAAGGTAAAATTTTGTCTTTTATTAATTATATAATTTGACTTTTATCCACCATACCCAACATTTATTTCCACTAGATATTGTGGTATGTCAACATAACTTTTTTCTGTACAAATGAAAAATCTACAGCTAATCAAAATAAAAGTTTTTAAGAAAGTATGCAGCTTAAAATGTAGATATTTTATTCATAAAATGGAATAGTGAAAATGCATGCGACTAAAGTTTGTTAAAAGTTAATTAAGTTACTAAAAGTTTTAATCTAGAAGCTGTCATACAAAAAAGTAAAATATTTGACTCTTATGATATAAAGTTGATGTGTTATTGTTATTTAATATCTCAAATGTGCAAAATAGACCAAAATGTTGATGACAGATATGAATAAAAGCTTTTTTTGACATTGATGTTCATGTTAAAAAGATCTCGCTACGATTGTTTATGTTTGATATAAATAGAAACAAGGAAATATACTAACATTGTTCGATTACTCTTTCCGTTGCCACTTCTAACAATGATCATAAAAAGAAAATATCTTATTGTTTGACAAATTTTAGGCGTAACCTAAGCTTTGGAAATAGTTTGCTAGTCTAATGTATCAGATACAATGAGTAAATGACATTTTGAAAAAAGTGAAAGTGATTTATTTTTCTTTGATTTTTGTTAACGGTTTGTAAAAATTAATATAATAGTTATCTCCTATTATGAAAATGAATTCTTTTGTCTTTTCCAAAACAGTGTGGAAAAGACGCGATTGATAAAAAGAGGCTAAAAGTCTTGTAGTTATTGTCAGGGTTTACTCTCGATTCGTTCCTAATTGCTCTCTCTCTTTCAATTCGTCTCACACTTTTTTTCTCAGTTTGTCTCAAACAATTCATCCCACTTTTTTTTAGTCTCAATTCGTCCCATTTTTTAAATACTTATTCGGCATAAATTCTCTTATATTTAACTTAACTTTCAGAAATGAAAACAAGAAGGTGTTATTAATACATTGTTTTTATTCCATATGAATTTTTACGGTCCTTCCGCATTTTATGGCTAATTGTGGATTTGTCAACTCCCCTTTTTCATGAGTGTCAAGTAAACTTTTCAATTTTTCATCAATTTCATTGTGAATATTTTTTACGTTTGCGAGTTTGGACTTCAGATTCTTCTGCGTGTGATGGTGCTGCAAGACATATTCTTGACGTAATAGATCAATAAATTCATAAATGTGTGGATGAACAGGAAATACATTTTCTGTCAGCACAGGTTTACTTTTCTCGATTTCTGTGAAACTTAACATTGCAAACTTCATTCACACGATAATTTTTGGTCAGATGTAAATTTCTTCTGTCTGTTTTAGACACGTTTCTGTACATATATTTATTTATTTTAAGCTGACCAACAAGGATGAAACTCTTGTTATTTTGAAGAACACAAAGGGAACTTATATAGAATAAGTATTTAAAAAATGGGACGAATTGAGACTGAAAAATGTGGGACGAACTGAGAAAAAAAAATTGTGGAACGAATTGAGTGAGAGAGTAATTAGGGACGAATCGAGAGAACACGAGTGTCAGATTAACGAAGAACGACAGATAAAACAAGTGTTTTCTATTCTAAGAAAATTTTCAAAAACTAATTCTTCAGTGTCATAAATTTTTTGTAATTTTTTGAACATGACTCGAATTTTTCATGAATATTGATTGATATTAGACATATGTCAACAAAAAAATAGAAAACAGCAGAACATTCTTTAAGAATATAAGATTAAAGAAGAAAATATAACATTCAAATTCTTTTGCATGTATCGTCGTAAATTAAATTTTGTAAAATGTTATAGTAAAGAAAACTTTTCTGTGCATACTATAAAAGGCAATCTTCAATACTGCAATATCTATAATACCCAAAACTGTTGGTCTCGATACATATCTAATTCAGTTATTTACATTATATCTATGATGTTAGCGCAACTTTTCTGAACGTTAGTATAATTTTTTTTAGAAAAGCCACGTTTTTCAGGTAACTTTTCTCTACTAAAAAAATGTTTTGTAAGCAAAATAAATGGAATAAATAATCGAACTCAGTTCATTAAAATGCATTGAAACCATGTATAAAACAACAACTTTTAAATGAAAAAAAAATGTCAATCAAAATTTTTCACCATCGTCCCTCTACAGTCATTTTTTAAAATGAAAACACATTTAATTTTTGTTTAGAAGATTGTGTTATGACTGGAGAGGGATTACGATCCACAAAGGTTTACTTTCAAAAACATGATGATTTTCATATCATCAGCTAAAATTGCCTGCTGGGTCAGAATGTTGTATAGACGGAAAGATCTATAACTTACATTTGTAAATGTACGATGAGTAGCAGGTAACAGAGTGATCTAAAGTAATTCTTAATTATTTCCAATAGTTTGAATTGCAATCTCATTCAGACTGAAGATTAAGAAGAAAAATTTATAAAAGTACTTGTTAATATAGGATTGACAAAAAAGGAAAATTGCTGTACATATATCAATTGCTTATTGTTCACAACGTATCACCGATTGATCATTGTAAAAGTGAGTGTACAAGTACATCATTCAGTGCATTTTGTTCATTTTCAACTAATTATGTCTGTACAAAAAGTGTAATTATATGTCACAGACAGCAAGCAATTTGTATTGTGACCAGAATCAAAAGTTTTTTTTGTTCTTCGTTAAACATCAATAAGTCAATTGTGACACGGGTTTATGTAGACATTCAAATTTTCACTTTATTTTTTAACTTTTGTTCACACATATTAAGAATAGATTTTGCTTCTCTTTTTTTTCTTTTTACAATTTTTATAATATCATTTTACGTTTACTCTCATTATTAGACGGTAGACATCTGAATGTATACAATAAATTCTCTCTGTTAACCCGTAGATTTAAGACAGGAAATACAATCGTTATTGTAGTAAATTAGTTGAATGAATACAAAATAAGCAATATGACCAAAATTACACAAAATCAAATTACGATATTATGATATTGTTTGAGTATTATAGGATTGTATCATCTCGTACTCATATTTCTTTATCACGTTACCGATTAAATTTGAATTTCTTTAACAATTTTTTTATTAGTTAAAAGTAGAATACAGTCGTTTTAATGTTTCAAAACAAAGATCAGAAGCAAAGATGTTTGCTCTGTTGTTTGACCAATTGAAAAACTGACCATAGTCATATGACTATAGTCGATATCATATGATTTTCTTGTCCTCCTGTTACTTAATACAACCATATATATTAATATGTATATTTTCTATTGAAAAGAATTTCGTTATTATGTTATTTTAATAAAGATATGAAATGGTATACTATTAACACTTTTCATAGTTGTTTTAGACAGATGATCACTTGTATAAAATGTGCTCTCTATGAATATGTCCCATGGGCAAATCTTTACTCAGTGTATTACTTTGTTCTTAGCATAATGTATGTTACATCAGCCAAATATTGATAGTCAAACCATTTGTGTACACCTAATCGTATACTGTATATATCATGTTTATAATTCTTATTCTATTTTCGTTTGCCTAAAGTTAAATTTGATCAAATAGATTTATTAATTACATTTTTCGTCTATATATACAATCCTAATTTGATTTTATATGTAAACCAAAACTCTATTGTTATTCACCATAAGTTTTATTTTGAAAATTAAAGACAAGAAAATTTAAAAATGTAAATGTTAGACTATTGAATCATTGCCATTCCTGTTTCATATTTATTGTTAATTCTATAAAGAGATCCGGAAATTCGATAAAAACCTTCAACTATAGAAAGACAATAATAATATCCGATCGGATCTTAACGATGAAAACTATGACAGAATCTTTCTCTCTCTCTTTTTCTATCTCTCTCTCTCTCTATATATATATATATATGGAGAGAGAGAGAGAAAGAGAGTAACTAATCTTCAATACAAATGGAGAGATCAAATAAGTTCATCAAAATATATTTCTTTTCATTTCTAAAACATGTTATGTACAAGCTGTGCGAAAAATATATGTTCGGTCTAATCAATAAATGTTAGTATAGTACAAAAGGAAAAAGAAAAAAGAAAAAGAAGGAATAAATTATATTATCAATAATATGATCTTTTTTTTCACTTCTGTTGGAACAATATTTTTCATATGTTCTATCGTATTTCAATGAGAAGAGAGAAGGGGACGAAAAATATATCAGATAAAGAAATAGATCCATGAAGAAGCGATGGAGATGAGATCGGATGATTTCACTCTTTTCTTCTTTTCCTCCTTCATATTTCATCATATAATAAAAATTTCTTATGTTATGATTTTCAAGATTTTCATCTAACACGATACGTAAGTATACAATTGGGATAGATTTTCAATCTTGTACAAGTATATTTAATACTTATATTATCATTCATTAGACACACCTCTAGTATTAAAACATTTTTTAACTTTCCCTTCGACAATCGAAATGAGATACAAAAAATTAATCAGATTTATCTTTTAACTTCTCGTAGAAGTAAATAGCTAAGGTAAACTTTATAAGAATAAATTCGTTCTATTTTGTCATGATTCTATATATTTTCTACAAATGTTTGTTAATGTGTGCTATTTAATAAAAACGATGGATTTATCTGTCAAGGCTCTTTATTTCTGTGACCATTTTCGAATCGTCTATCATCTTCTTCTTGATGTCTATGGTAAGATATGAAAAAGAATAATAAAAAAAAAAAAAAAACAAAAAAAAAAATGAAACGGAAAATGATTCTTCTGTTGGCTTCTATCTATAAACTGAAAAAGTCTTCCCTTGTGGCTATAGTTAGTTTCTTAACGATGCTAATAATAATAATAATAACTAGAGAGAAATAAGAAGAGAAAAAGAGAAAATAAAATTTCTACACTGATTGAGCATTATCATCATCCTTACTTCATTTTATATTCTCTTGAGCATACTGATATATTTTTCAAAAATATTTTTGCTTATTTATATTTTTTTACTAGTTTTCAAGTTACAAAAATAGAATATAGTGATCATTGTTGATAGATGAATTTGTCAACAATATATCAACATACACAAAAAAATCAATTTAATAGTCTATATATATAAATGATAGGAGAGATATGCGATTGTCAGCATTTCTATTTTACAATAGACTTTTGTCAGTTATACGATAGTTGTGTACATCAACAGTTATTGTCAAAGCAATTACGTCTATATCATAGGAAAGAGAGAGAGAGAGAGAGAGAGAGAGAGAGAGAGAAAGAAAGAAAGAAAGATGATATAGAATGTAGAGTCTCGTCTATGATATGTTGTTGTTTTTTTTGTTGTCTATTTTTTATAGATTATATTCTCAGAGAGATAAAAACGAAATATCTATTCTCTTCTTATGTTTGATACTTGTTGTTGTTTTTTCTTTTCTCTTTCTCTTTGTCCTTTATATAAAAGCATAAATTACTCTATGTCATCAACAATGAAACACAAAAAAAATTTAAAATAAGTTAAACAAAAACAAAAAAAAAAAATAATTTTTTTTTTCATTTTTTTTTGGGAGTTTTTTGTTTTGTTTTGTTTGAAATAAAATAAAATAAAAAAAAAAATATGTCGATATGAATAAAGAAAACATTATTGAATGTACATATTAGATTCATGCAGTTATTTTACGATAAAAATAGTTATATGTTGTCAGTATTTAATAAACAACAAAAAAAATCAATTCTATTGTGGTCAATAATTAGTTTATTTGTGATGAATTATAATTATCACATTATTATTAATATATGGTTTAGTCTATTATTATTATATATAATAATTGACTCTATTCTATGTCAAACAGTTGAAACAAAATATGTAACATATGATATTGAACAGTATGGTATTAATGGTGGCGTATTTTCAAGTATGTATAAAAAAAAAAAAAAAAATGATTAAATAAATGAATGTATTATTATCATTTTTATTTTTAATTTTAAAAAAAATAAAAAATAAATAGGTCCAAATTTTCCAAGTTATTATCCACAAGATACAATTGTATTTTATCGTTTTATATCAAATTCAAATTATCGTGTTCAAGTTGATATTCATTTTTTTCAAATAAGAGGTGTAACACCTCAATGTACACACGATTATCTTGATGTTTATATAAATGTATCAGATGTTGATATATTAACAAATGAAAATTTATTACATCGTTATTGTGGAAGAAATAAACCAAAAACATTGGTATCATTATATCATATTATTGTTTTGGGATTTTTTACTGAAGATACACAAACTGAAAGAGGTTTTAATGGTACATTTAAATTTATATCATCATTACCATTTCGTCGTAATTTATATCGTGAACCATGTCATTATATATTTAATAGTTCAATAAATAAAATGGGTGAATTTTTTTCATTAACCTATCCTGGTACCTATTTACCGGTATGTATTTATTTATTTATTTATTTATTTTCTTCTTATATTAATTCTAATGATGACTTCTTCTTTTTCTTATCTATCAAATATAGTGGCAATTTTGTAATTATTCATTTATTGGACAATCGGATGAACGTGTTCATTTAAGATTTAATGATTTAATGATCTATAAAACACCTGGTACTCAACATTGTGCTATTGATATGATTAAATTATATGATAATGATCTTGAACCTGATGATTTAAGAAGATTTTTAAATAGTTTTCCAACATGGTCACCAACAAATAATAATTATCAATTACCTCAACCATATCAAACAAATATTAATCATATAACAGATTTATGTGGAACATTTAAATCACCACCTGATGTTTATTCAAAAAGTTCAAAATTATTATTATATTTTATATCAACACATTATGATGAATTAGCATCTTATACAGGTGAAGATGAATCATTAATATCAGATAATATTTGGAGAAAAGGTTTTCATGCACAATATGAATTTTCAAAAGAATTAACAAAATTAGATTTTATTATATCAAAACGTGGACAATATATATCGGGAACAGAATGTGATCAAACAATAAAATCTTATGGTCAAGGTCAAGGTAAATAAAATTAAAAAAAAACAAAATAAAAAATAATTTGAATTTATTTATTTTTTTATATGTATGTGTTTTTTTTTTGTTGTTGTTTGATTTTTAGGAATCATTTTTTCACCCAATTGGCCAAATTATTATAAACCTCAAACATTATGTTCAAATTATTTTCTTGGTCTTGATGATCGATATACATTAGAAATTGTTGAAATTGAATTTGAACAATTTAATATTAATTGTGCTTTAGCCTATATTGTCTTATATAATTGTAGTCGAATATATGATCATAAACAATCTTTAACAACAACAACAACTTATACATCATCTTATAGTAATTATTATAGACAAACACTTGATTTTAAACCAAATTTAACATTTTGTGGAATATTTAAACCTGAAGGTAAATTTGTATCAAAATCTGCTCTATTAAAAATAGATTATATACCCGTTGATCGTAATACAAAATCATCATTAAAATATGGTGGACGATTTCAAGCTAATTATCGTTTTATAAGATCTTATCATTATGTATCAGCTGATGAATATGATTCAAATCCATCATTATGTAATTTATCATACTATCAAACACGTTCCATACAAGGTAAACAATTAAATATAAAAAAAAAAAAAAATAGAAATTATAAATAATGATCTTTTTTTTTTGTTTTATTTGTTAATTTAGGTAAATTTGAACCGCCTCGATCGTCTGATAATGATTATTTTTCTCGAACAAATTGTTCATTTAATTTTTATCCATTAATAATGAATGATGATAATATTGATAATCGAGTATTAATTTGGTATGATTATTTTAATATTGCAGATATTGATACAACAACATGTACACAAGATAATTTAACTTATTCATTTAAATTTAAATATCATACTCAATTTCAACATCATAATAAAACATATTGTGGTTATAGAAATTTTCCTGCTCCCTATCTTTCCTATAAATCTATATCATTATTACGTTTAGAATTTCGAACAAATGATGATAATAATGGTGGATTAGGTTTTGATGGTCGATATAAATTTATTAATAAAACAACAATTAAAAAATCAATAATTAATGAATGTTCATCACCATTTGAAAATTATATTTATATTAATGAAAATGATCAACAAAGTGGAAATATATTATCACCAAATTATCCAAATTCTTATCCAGAACAAATTGTTTGTGAATGGAAATTAAAAACAAATCCTGGATATTATTTTAGTATAATTATTAATTCATTAGATTTAGAAGGATCATTAAAAAAAGATCCATCAATTGGTTGTCAAACATCTGTATTACGTATTATTCATGGTCATCAACAAATAGATAATACAACAAATTATATTTCAAATGAATTATGTGGAAATGATTTATTTGATGATGATTCACCACATTTACATTTAAAATATCATTTAACATTTGAAAATTGGTTTATTATTCAATTTATAACATTATCACGTTCAACAAAAGAACAATTAAAAGGTTTTAATCTTACTTGGACATTATTAAAAGAACATGGATTAAATGAAACTTATCCATGTTTAGATAATTTTGATTGTGGAAAAATGTGTATATCATCTACACTTATTTGTGATGGTTATATAAATTGTGAACCATTTAGTAAAAATGATGAATTAAATTGTGAAAATAATATTCAAATATCATTTATTAAAAAACATTCTATTCTTTTTATTATTGTATTTATATTATGTATTATAATGTTCTGGTTTCTATTGTTATTTATTCTATTAGTATTAAGAACAAAAAGAAAACGAAAACGGCAAACATTATCATCTGCTAATCATACAAATAGTAATCATATTAACAACGACAATAAAATAACAACAAATAGACGAGAAGATATTGACATAGATCAAAAACAAAAGAAGAAAAAACGTTCAAAAAAAAATAATAGTCAATCTTATATAGATACCTATGATTGGGATAAAACAAATATGTTAGAAGAAAATGTAACCACTGTGTGATAAATAGATATCTTCTTCTTTCATTTACTTCTAAGAGATAATCAGTAGAGGAGATTGTTATTCAACAGATTGATAGTAGAAAAATTCAAGTAATAAATCGAACTGAGTGATGAAATTACACACACACACACACGCACACACATAGTTTTTAGATTAGAACTTTTCTCGATAATCAAAGATATAAACTATATGAATTTAGTAGTAAAAACACACTATGGGTAGTGCATGAGGATGGAATTAGCTTGGAAAAGTTTTACTTTTGGATAATTTAGTCCAACAGTAAATTCTTTGTATTTGAATTCAAAAGTTCAAGTGTATAGTTTCATCAGCTGTGTAGTGTTCTTGTGTGCTTTGCTTCTTTCTGTTCTCTCCTTATCTCTCTCTATCTCAATCTCAATCAATCACGATAATAAATATATGGAACAAAATTCTATTTTCGACGCATAAAATAAAAAGTGTTTATGAATGCAACATTGTTCATAGTATTGAATGTTGAAAAGTAGCAACTAGAGTTAGTGTGAAATCTTTATTTTTTACATATAACTTTGATATATTAGTTGTTCACAATGGCGACTTTTTGAGACACAAAACGATTATCCGTCCAATTTTTAGTTGTAGATTTAAAATCTTTATATGCAAAAAAAAGCATCTAGAAGTTCATTTTTTCTTGTTTTGAAGAATTTGATAAGGACATTTTTTATTTTTAAAATTTCTTGTTTACAATATTTTTTTGTCCGTTTTTTCATGTGTTAAGGTATCTTACTGATCTCTGAAAAAAAGGAAAGATCATATTAAAACATACATAAAACACGATCACCGTCGGATATTGTTTTTATAAGTAATAGTGATTCTCAGACTCTTAATGTCATAATACTGTGTCTCTCTCTATTTCATTATTTCAATTAGTAGGCCATACTATTTTTTGCTTCAATTATCAAGAGCGTTTATGAATGTCATTTTATTCCCCAGATAGAAAATGCAATTTTATCTACACACATGGAAACAACACCTTTTCATCTTCACTTGGTTTGTACAATATTTCTAGATAAATAAATATGACCTTCCGTATAGACCGATATAGATTAAGTGTGTAACTTTTTTTTGTTTTTTTCTGTTTGTTATTGTGCTATTTATCCGCTCTAATATTTACTGGTGATCGTGTTGTGTACATGATTCTATTGCCGCTTGAGAATTGAAACGAAGAAGAAAATATTATATTCTACAAGAAAATAAATGCATTTCATTAAGTATACAAAGACATTTACGCCGAACGTAAACGAACTTCAGTATTATTGAGTTGTACTGTTCTGTTTATACACAAACATACTCAAATTTCATCAACAGATTGACTATAACCTTCTAAATGAATAATATCCATATATTACATTTAGTATATGAGACTATTACAACAAACAGCAGTAGAACACATCTCTCTTTCTTTCTTTATATCGTCTAACTGAATAAGATGTCCTAGTCATTATTCAATTTGCTTTTTAATGGTGTCATTGATAAATGTTTGATTGATTATATATTATATTATTGTAGAAAAAACAGCATATTTGCATATTTTTAAATAGACTAAATGTTATTGTAAATGTTTATCGTTTTTTTTTATTGAAATCCAAATATATCCCACTATTCTAGAGATGTTTGTATACTTTTCTGAATCTTTAGGAAATTATAAACAGAATATGATCTAATTGAGAGAATACTACTGCGAGTATATTGTGAAATTCTCCAGAGCTTTTATTGCTCTACTTCGACCACGATATATGGACGAAATTTGAAAAGATTTTCACTTATGACTAACAGCAAAATATTCAAAAAAGTTTTTTTTGTGATATTTTTCTCACGTTAAAAGTTGTAAACTGTATAGTGAACATGCGCGAATTTCACATGCTCGTAAATATTTTCATGTTTGATCGTTAGTTCACTTGCAGGCGCATGTTTGATGTAGTCAGTGCATGATCCTGACGTCATAAACTTTCGATAAAGGACGGCAACGGTTTCTGTAGGAAAATGGTCCAATATGACTTTGAGCATAAATCGTCTAGAATTATCAAAAGGCTTCACACTTCACTGGCAGAATCTATGAAACTTTCAAATCTTCTTCTGGAATCTTCAGAAAGAAATCTCTTACAATTGTTCATTACTGTCCTAAATAAAAACGGTATCGATCCTCTATTCTAAGCTTTTCCCATAATTTCCAACTTCTTAACAAGAACCTGTATATATATCGGAAGACAGAAAATTTTCTGCGCTTCAAAATGAACTATAAACATGCTTTTCCAAAATATTCCCATGTAAATCCATTCTCGAAATACTGTTCAGATAATATCGTTTCCACCTATAGTGACACTTAAAAAGAACTATATTTGTATGTATGTACTCAGAGCCAGAATATTTTTATATATATAAGATTATATATATAGAAGAGTTTTCTCGTATTTTCTTAAAAAGTTCATTTTCTTCATGTAGATCAAAATTTTCTCAAATACTTTAGAGACTTGAAGGGAGATATTCTTGATCATCTTAAGAAATTGCATCTGATCCATGCAGCGTTGAAAATATTCGCAAAAAACGTTTTCTAAAAACCCTTTGGAGTACCGTGAAAAAACATCATATTCCCAGAAAATGATACTAGAGTCACTCTGATATATTTTTTGACCAGAGATGGCAGGTCCAAGTCCGGACCTTTTTTGACGAATTTACACTTGACTTAGAGATTTTTTACCATATCCGTTTAAAGTCCAAGAAGTTAAAATCTATCATATTCAACAACGAAGTGGATGTATTCTGAAACACAATGTATTAATCTCTTTTTTGTCAAAACATGCATCGAAGGTATGAATGAAATTTATTTACTTATCATATATGATTATGACCTACTGCATCGTGTAGAAACTGATATGAAAGAGCTTCAACTCGAACTTGGACCTGGACTTAGACTGGACTTGTATTTGGAAATGGTCGGGCTTGCTCACCTCCATTTTTGACCGATAAAAGTCATTTGTAACGAACGGGTAAAAGATTTCTGATACAGACACACATGTTTTTGCAAATAAGCAAACCAACATCTAAGTTCAACGTTTCCGGAATGAATTTACATGGGAATCTTTTTGAAAAGCTTAGTTATAGATAAATAAATTTTGTTTACAACTGCTTTTTCGTTACAGAAAAGCTGAAACCTTGGAAACTTGAACTGGCCCTTAATACGCGCGAAAGTTGAGAGAGAAGTTACAGAAGGCAGTCTCCAGGGCTGTGCGCGTTGCAAGGGTCAGTTCAAGTTTCCAAGGCTTCAGCTTTTCTGTAACGAAAAAGCGGTTGTAAAACAAAATTTATTTAGTTCAAATAAGTCAAGTTTAAAACATCAAAATCATTTTCTTTGGTCATTTTGAAGTGCAGAAAATTTTCTGTCTCCCGATATATATACAGGTTCTTGTTAAGAAGTTGGAAATTATGGGAAAAGCTTAGAATAGAGGATCGATACCGTTTTTATTTAGGACAGTAATGAACAATTGTAAGAGATTTCTTTCTGAAGATTCCAGAAGAAGATTTGAAAGTTTCATAGATTCTGCCAGTGAAGTGTGAAGCCTTTTGATAATTCTAGACGATTTATGCTCAAAGTCATATTGGACCATTTTCCTACAGAAATCGTTGCTGTCGTTTCCCATGGGAATGGTTTGATGCTCAGCCTGTAAAGAACTTTTGTTTCCTCGCTATGGAATACAATTTGAAGAGTTCATTCTACAGTCAAAAGATAGACAATGTTTTTTTTAGAAAACTTTATATGTCTGATATTTACATGCTGCTTCATTGTTTGGAAAATAGACAAGTAACAAGTACAACCGTGAACTTTTTCGAATAATGTAAACAAATAAGCAAAAAAACGAGTGTCTAATTAATTTAGAACTATCTTTTTGAGCTTTTGATGTAGCATCAAACTACAAAAAATTTTGGTACACAAGATAAACTAGTCATTCTTAGTAGCGTGTCGGAAAAAAATAGCTAGTGAAGGCGACACAGGCCTACAACAAAATAGAATCTGTAGAGCAGAGAATTCTCTGTCTTTCCAATCTGGTAAAGCTTGTCAGCGGTGCCCTAGGGAGCAAAAATAGAAAACTTTCTTCTTGTATTGCACAGCAGAATTAATATTCAATTCTCGCTCTAGTCAGAATACACTTTTATTGCGAGAACTGCTGCTGTTTGTCGTTGATATGTTAGATGATGAGGTTGGCACCAACGAGAGAAGAAACCAAAATAGTCAGTTACAAATCACAACACACTACGCCATTCACTCGTCTGTAGGCGGACAAAAAGTGCAAAAACAGCCATAGCCAGCTCAAAACCTCTTTAAACTTAAAACTTCGTTGTTCCTTCTGACGAAGAAAAGCCCTGAAAGTTTTCACGATAATGAAAAAGTCGAATTTCCATGCAAGAGCGATTTCACCTAATATAGGTTTTCACTAGATTTTTGAATCCTTTTCGAAAAACGAACATTGCTACGAGACTCACCGTGATGGATAACCCATGTTATCATTACAAAATCTTAGAATCCTACAGTATGATAAGGAAAAACAGACACAGTAACGGCTTATTATTAAAGGATCATTCAGTACCAGTGATTAGTTTCAGTTATAGAAAAGTCATTAGATTGTCTGTTTGTATTGATCGCTCTTTCTTAGTTTTGATTGGAAATAGTTTATTTTAGTTTTAGATGAATAGCTAACATAAACATTGTAAAATAATCAATTAGGTTGAACGTATAAAAATGCTGCAATCTATTCCTTCTGTATGCAATTTACTTGTCCTTACTGACTGTTATTTTCTGAAATAAAGCGTATAAATATCGGATACAGAAGATTTTCTAAAGCAGAATATTATTTATGTTATGAATGCTCTCTCATTATGGGTTGCTGTTAAGGAGTGACCACTCCTTAACAGCCACCAGTCCGCCACTAGTGGCAGATTCAACCATCGTGTGGTACGTGCAGTCACAC